TAGAGCATCTGCCTGCAGACTGAAGGGTCCCAGGTTCGATTCCGGTCAAGGGCATATACCTTGGTTGTGGGCACATCCCCAGTAGGGGGTGTGCAGGAGGCAGCTGATTGAGGTTTCTCTCTCTTTGATGTTTCTAATTCTCTATCCCTCTTCCTTCCACTCTGTAAAAAAATCAATAAAATATATTTTTAAAAAAAGTTAACAAAAACAGTAGCAACGTTGTTTCAAGCTAATTATTTTTAAGTAGCATAGTACTGAATTAATTGTCCAAATTAAAAACTTATAATTTGGTCATTTTTTTTCAATACATTTAGAGTTTTGACTATATTTTCTGCTTATTGATTTTAGGCATATCTTGATATGTGTGTGCGCGCGTGTGTGTGTACAGATATAAATGTAAATCTGTTATTGGGATGTCTCCAGGATAAGGGTTTTGTGAAATGCAAATTGACAAGGGGTTCTAGAATAAAACTCTATAGAGGTATAAACACGCAGCTATATTTATTAATACAAATATACATATAAACAGATGCATAGGTATGTTCATGGAAATATTTCTTTTTGTAAATTAGTTATATCTACTTCCTGGTGTTCAGTTAGCCTTTAACTGCACCAGCATATCTACATAATAACACATGCTGAAATGTATTTTCAGGCAAAGATTTTCGTCTTTCAGGAACGGAAGGAAATTAACACTTATTTGCTCAACTATTTTCCAGATGCATGATATTTCATGGCAGTTATGACATAGATATTAAGCTTTAAGAAAATGAGTGGCTTGGATTTGAACCCAGGTCCGTCTCACCCCGAAGCCTCTTCCTATATCACATTGAATACCACAGCGATCTGCCATCCACTTCTCTCCACTGACCATTTGCTCTGGAAACCCAAGGTCAGAGCCTGTTCATTCTGCCCATCTGGCTCTCCCTTCTCTCAGGGTGATGTGTCTCCTTGTCCCAGAACCTCTTCTATTGAAAAGTCAAAGGGAGGTCCACCATGTTGTTACTGAGCCTTTGCTATCTTCTCTATGAATTCTTGAAGTGTTGTACAATATTCACTCAACCAATCATTTAGAAATGGAGATGTGTCAGATCATGGATCTCTCTACAGTATTTGTCAGGATCACACTCCACTGCCTCCTGGTTTGTAAAGATCTCTCTCTTGCTGCAGACATAAAGGAGTGCTTCATAGTATTTAAACTAGGAATTCTTTTTGCTTGGCAATAAGGCTTTGGCTACAACAAAATCAGCTCATAACTGAAAAATAGTATGTCTCGAGTGACTGAATTCACAACCTGAATCCCCCTCCATTTTAAAAACAGGAAGTATCATGAACACTTGTTTCTACTTCATTCTATATGAAACTGATCAAAATATTTCTAGAAAACAAATTCTAGAAGTCTCCTTTTTAATTTGAAATTTACTATAACACCAGTATTGTAAAATTAGCAATTGGGAATTCTATGCATTTAACCTCTGGATACTTTTTTTATGCCTACCTTATTTAGGTTTATTTTCAGGGGTGAACAAAGGCTACCCAGAGGTTACAGATACGTCATGTAGCACTTACTATAACACCAGTATTGTAAAATTAGCAATTGGGAGTTCTATGCATTTAACCTCTGGATACTTTTTTTATGCTTACCTATTTAGGTTTATTTTCAGGGGTGAACAAAAGCTACCCAGAGGTTACAGATATGTCATGTAGCATATCAAATCTGACATTTAATCCTTGATCCCACTCATGATATTTAGTTTTCATTGAATGGAACTCTCCTGCGGTGATGTGGTAGATGTCTTTCCCACATGGGGATGCCATTTCCTTTTGGAGTCCAGGCCTCTACACTTGGATGAAAGTTTTCCAATGTTTGTGTGTCTAGAAGGCTTGCTTAGTAAAGAATCACAGCTTTCTCCTCATTCATGTTCCAGTGGAAAGAAGTTATGATTCCAAAATTCTTAAATAGTCTAATTTCATTGCTACTGCTAGAGATCAATCTGGTGTTAAAAATTTTCCTAAACAGGAAGTTGTTCCCCTAACAAGAAAGGTGCAACAAAGGTGTTTGTTGGGAAGGGTTGGGACCAGAGGACAAGAAGCAAGGGGCAGGGGAGGTTTCCCACTTGTGAGCTGTGCCTCCAACAGGGTTAAAAAAAGAAAAGGGTGTTGAGAATAAGGCAGGACTCTTAGGAGAAAATGTTAGCATTCCTCAAGGCAACCCAAGTCACTAAGACAAAAATGGTTCCAGTGTTTCTTCCGAGAAAGGCAAGCACACACCACATTCCCGAGAGCTTCCTGATGCAGCACAGGCAGATGCAAGGAAGGAAGAGGTACTTACTGTTTGGATCTACGTTTTCACAGAGTTCTGTCTTTGCCTCACCGTTGGGTCTGTCACTAGGTTTGTGTGACAGCCGTGATGACATGGTGGCTGCTGTGACTACTGCCTTGAAGCTTCGCTTCCGTTTCTGGACATTGAGTTCAGGGTGGAAAATGATGATGTACACTTTCGGCATGTATAGCATCCCCAGCGCCACTGACGCACTTAGGTTCATGGAGATTGTAAGCGTGGTGGTTTGTATGTAGAGCTAGGAGACACAACACACAAGACACTATTACAAATAAAATGACCGCAGAGGGAGTCTTAACACTTAACGTGATGTCAAGAATGACTATGGCTAGGAGAGATAGCATAGCAATCTCCAAGGCTTTCTGATAAAAAAAAAAAAAAGCAAGACAGGATAACTCTGAACATTTATTGGAGAGTTTATGCATATTTTTATTTGAATTTTTATTGTTTGAATGTTTGGGAGAATCCATGTGCGTGCTTGCCCTGGAGAAGTCTCCTACATAGAATTTCGGAGTAGATCCAGCATCAGATTTGAAGTACTTTTAATCAGAATGGCAATTGAATATGAAGATGGGCAGATCATGAAACCTGTAAAACCTTGCGTAAGGGAATTGGTTTTTTCCCCCATATCTACACAACATGATTAACTCTACATGACCTGTTGATACACAGAGACTCTGGGGCCTTGTTTAAAAAGTCCTTATGTCAATATATATCAATACATGCACTTTGGGCATATATAGTTTTTCAAAGGGGTTCACCTTCACCATCCCTACAAAGTAGTGACTGAGTTTCCCTAGAGAGTAAGCCCTTCTTGCTTAATTCTGATGTTAAAAATACCAAAGGCAGGGGACCAAGATCTAGTTATGTTGTCTTGTCCAGTGTCTTTACACTGACCAGTTGCTAATAGGTTGCAAGATCTCCTTCTGACATTATTTGTGGTTTGGACAGTGACCAGAGCTGCCCTTGTCTCCTTCTGCTTCCTTGGGAATTCAATTGAGCAACCACCCACTCACTGTTTGATGTGTTCAATTCTTGTCTGGCCTCCATTCAAAAAGATGAAGGTGGAAGGGTGTAGGGAACTGTCAGATCAGCGAGGGAAAAACTATAGATGACTTGGTCCAGTTGTGTTTATAAAGTGCCCTGTCATGATCTAGAAGTGCCCCCACAATACATTTAGGTATATTTGTATCTTACAAGACTTGTCAAAGCTAGATGAAATGTGAGGTGATGGATGTGTTAATTAGCTGGATTGTGGTAATTATTTTTCAATGGAGCTTAAGTCATCATGTTGCATACCTTAAATATCATGTTCTGTAACCTAAATATATACATATTTAATTTGTCAATCATACCTCAATAGGCTAGATAAAAATAAACACCTTTAATTTGTCAATCATACCTCAATAGGCTAGATATATATAAAAAGATAGGTAGGCAGATAAATCAATTAAAATTTTGTTTAAATAAAAGAGTGACTAGCTATCATAGTCTTCCATGTTAGTGGAAAGCCTAGTTCCTTGAGAACATATTGGTCATGATTTCCCACAACTTTGCCTTTGCATCGATCTGAGGATAAAATCCCCATCTTTTTAAAAAATATATATTTTTATCGATTTCAGAGAAGAAAGGAGAGGAAGAGAGAGAGAGAAACATCCATGATGAGAGGGAATCATGGATCAATTGCCTCCTGCACGCCCCCTACTGGGGATGGAGCCTGCAACCCAAGCATGTGCCCTTGACAGGAATTGAACCTGGGACCCTTCAGGCCCCAGGCCAACACTCTATCCATTGAACCACACCAGCCAGGGCAAATCCCCATCTTTAATGGATTCTACAAGGCCACGAATCATCTGCACCCTGTCTACTTTACTGACCAATTTTTCACCACTATCCCCACCTCTCTCTCAGGGCACCATCTGAAGGGGCACTCCTTCAGGTCTTGAAGATGCTATGCTCACTCAACCACAGACCCTGCATACGTGCACACATGCAGTTTTACTTTATTCTTGTTTTCATCTGTTAGGAACGTTCCTCCTCTGCTGCTTAGAACATCCATCCAGGCTGCCTCCAGATAGGCCAGCTCCTTAACTCCCATGCCCTCAACAATCTGTTGTCTTTACATCATTGGTTCCCATTTGTAATTAATACTCCCACTACCCTGATCACTTGACCATCTGTCTCCCCAACTAGGCCATAGCTCTAGGCCTGTGTCCATGGTGCAATTTGTATCTGCAGTGATGGCAAACAGTAGGCACTTAATAAATACATGATGAATGAACTCATGTGTTTGTATGATAGACACCTTTTCCTACCTATGCCTGAGTGATCAAACAGCCTTTCTCTAAATATACTGCAGAATTTCCATGTCACCTACTGGCTGCCTGGATCTTTCTGATCTTAAAATAGAACCTAAAAGATAGTAAGTACAGCCAATCCTCAATGTTGTCAATAGGTTCTGCAACTTAGCAAAATGAAATATAAGGAAATCAATTTTACCATAGTCTAATTGATATACACATGAGTTAAGTTCCTATGGCATCTCATCAATGTTATAACAAAACAACATTGAGTGAAATGCTATTATTTGAGGGCCTGCTATACTATGAAAGTACTGTAAAATAAGTAGAAAGATTGGAAGGCTTCGGTCTACAGGGATCTCAGAGGTATTGATCCACAGGGATCCACCCCCATTAAGCCCCAGGAGGGAAACTAAGTCACTGTTTCTTTGCTGTTAATTGGGAGACTCACTGTTAAGCTCTGAGTGTTCAGCCCAGCGTCAACTTTAGTACATTCCTTTAGCAAGTTGCAACACCTTTATTTTTAGTCTCAGCTGATCTGATGCGTACTGCAAAATGCTTAACTCTATTTCATCTTGGGTACTTCACATCCTTTTATTTAATCTTCCTTACTATTTCTTTAGCGATGTGAAGGCATTGGTGTCCATGGAGGAAAGTCTTCCCCACCGTGGTCAGTCCCCAGTGGCCTAGGCTTGTGGGAGGGATGCCAGGTGCCTTGTAATTTCTGTGTGTTTTGATAATTAAACCTTAATTTTATCATCAACCCAAATGTTCCAGATCCAGCTTCTACTGCTTGGTTGAATGTGGCTTTCCGTTCATCATGCATAATCCAGTTTATGCAACTAGCGAGCATTGAGGCAAGGGATTCGGAGCCCAGACAGCCAAGAGCTTTGCATAACATTCTTGAACAGTAGTTTTCCTAAAGTCCGATGCATGGAATGCATGCAAATATTTTCTTTGTCTCTCAGTTTCCTTATTTATAAAATGAAGATAATAATAGTTCCTACTTTATGGGGGTTTTGAAGATATAATTAATATATGAAGAGTGGTTAGCAGAATGCCTCGGAAATAAGTGCCCATGAAATGTCAGCTGCTAATATTTACTTCCTGGCTGATATTTATTTATTCGATTACTCGTAGCTCTGCGCACGAATCCATGCACGAGTAGCTCGCTGCTGCTTGCCTCAGCTGGCCACCCTGCCCACTGCCACTGGTAGCTCTCTGCCACTCATAGCTCGCCACCCTGCCCTCCTGTAGCTCTCCACTCGCTGCCCTGCCCTCCTGTAGCTCTCCGCTCGCCACCCTGCCCTCCTGTAGCTCTCCGCTCACTGCCCTGCCCTCCTGTAGCTCTCCGCTTGCTGCCCTGCCCTCCTGTAGCTCTCTGCCGCTTGTAGATAGGTCGTGACGTTACAGTGTCCCGGCTAATTTACATATTCCTCTATTATTATATTAGATGGGGGTGTAGGTCTCAAGATAAGGCTTCTTCTGTATCTACTTTTACATATTTTTAACTTTTTACATATGTCTTACTGATTAACTAGGTTGTAATGTCTAAAACACCACACCTATTCACACCTTGTCTGACTAAAATGTAGCAGCACATAGACTATTAGAGCACACAGACAGGTGTGTACTTAATTCAGTGCCAGGCAGAGCCCACTTGAATCTGCTCCATGCATTTTCTCATCTTGGCCTAAAAGTTCATTGTCAGATATAATGTGAATTCATATGAGATCCCAGTGTTGCTTTGTAAGTAGGTGTAGTTGAGTTTTCCTTATCTAATTCTCAATTTCGAAGATACTAAAGAATTTGAACACTTGTTAGATAGTGCCCATGAACAAATGTTGAAATTTGCCCATTCTTCTGGGTAAGTTTCACAATCAGTTTATACTTGAATATTATTTTGAGAGATTTCAAGTCATGCTGGTAATAGTTGTAATAATGTCAAGTTTTAAATTTTGCAAAATAGAGTATTCTCACTATTGTCCAAAGAATAAAGAGAAAAAGAAAGTAAAGAAAAATTTACAAGGCCTATAGATAAATATAAAACTAGAACTATTAGGAAAAAACCCAGTTTTAGATTTTTAGGTTCATCAAAATAGTCTCATAATTTCTAATGATGTCCTTAATAAAAATTATGTACTATAAGAAATTAACCAACAATATATTTATATTAATGAATTAACACCTTTAAATATGTGAAATTAGCAAAATTCTGGGACTATTTGGTGGGGTCAAATCATTAATATAAGAGTTAACTAACTCATGACCACCTGCTGTCCATTCCCTCTTAGTTGTATTTTCAGACAGGCTATGTGAGACATACCATACTTGTCCACTATTTATGCATTCATCCACTTATCCATTCAGCATTTTTATTGAGATACTGCTAAGTGACTGCATTGACGCAGGCTTCAGGCACAGCATTGTGAAGATGGTAGGCATGATTTGCTTTGAAAATGCAAAGTCATCCTGACGAGAATGATGTATTAGGGAACAATCTGAGTATAACACAAAGTTCATGTTTGCAAATATGTGATTTCTTCCCCAAGAAACACAGTCAACTGCACCCAGCTGAACCCAGCTGTGTGGGAATATATGAAATGCACACACACACCCATGCCTCAAGCATCTGCCAGCTCCCCACTTCGGCAATGTCACCATGAATCACAAGCAGCAATATGTTTGGCACCTGCTTCCATGAGCAAACATCAGGCTTTTTTTTTAAGGTAAAATGCCACATTTATTGTGATATTTATATATTTCTTAGTCATCTAACATATATAAAACCAGGCCACCATTTTTATTAGATTCCTATCCTTTTTAAAAACGTCACTGATGATATTTTTGAGTATGTGTCCCTAACCCAATTTTTTTCCGTAATTTCTGTGTTTATTGCACACTATTGCACAGCACGGTGATTTTAAAAAACACAATA